GGGGGGGGGGGGGGGGGGGGGGGAAACAAACAAACAAACAAACAGAAACAAAACTAATGTTTTGAAATGTGTCATCCCAAGAAAGAAACTTGCATTATTTGGGGTTTGGTGGGAAAGGGGATGAGGTAAGAAAATCCGTGTGGTTGGCAAAACAGGAATCGCATCTCTTCGTCTTGAAGGAGTCATGCCTGTCTGAGAGAACATTGTTTGGTTGGGGACGAGTAAAACCAGCTAAGGATATTCAAACGCAAGACTAAACTAGGTATGTTTTGTGTTACTTTTTAAGAAAAATTCATCACTACTTTTCACACAGATATATATTCCCACCCACCAATAAGTGGGAGGGCACCACCACCCCACCCCACCGCTTTACCCACGAGGCAAATAGGAATGAAGTATCATATCAAAATCCAATCATTTATCTAAAGAATAATTGGAGGATTTCTTCTTATTCACCGAAGGGAAGTAGGAGTTCCACCAGCAGTGCCTATCGCGATTGACCCATAATCATCTCGTGTCGCATCCTCTATCGGATTGAGAAGTTGAAACATACCTTATACAATCCCTAGAACAAATAATGGAATGATAATCCAATGACAACTATACTAGAAAAAATTGGATGCTACAATATTCACGCCATGGAAGAGGCCAGATGGAGGAAATGGTGCAAATAATTGCTGCGAGGTTAGTTGTTTTTGGACTGTGAAACAGATAGAGGCGTTTTAGATCTTGAGATGAAGAAAATGGTTGATTCAGATATGAAACAATTCAAATCTGGAGAAGGAAGGGGGGCATATTTCATTATTCACTTGATTTCTTTTTTTTCTTTTTTTTTCTGAGGTTAAATAATTCCTACGTTTAAAATTGAATTACTGAATTGAGTAAAGAAGTAACAATGAATACCCAGGAAAAATAATACCACACCTAAAATAATTTGTATGAGATGGCTATTTTATGAATTGAGATGCAAATTTTCGAATTATAATACTCCAATTGCTTAATAGAGATTCACCCTTTTCTCAATTATCTAACTTGTGCTCAACTATTATACCAAGAGGACTCTTACTACTCCTTAGCTACCTTTTCTCTATTTCATCCCCAATCCATAATGCTACATTAGAATTCTATCCTGACCTAAACGTCGCACTCTCTGATTGGTATGATTATAACAAAAGGCCTAAATCAACATTTACTTGAATCTATTGTTAGTGTTACTTCATTTACTAGTTAGACAAACGTGAAACTTCTAACTAGTTATAGACACCCTTCTACCTTCCTCTCCCCTCTTTCTCGCTATCTCCATTCTAGCATTGTGCTCTCCTCTCTTTAGAAGGTTTAAATTCATAAGAACACAAAATTCTTTGGTTGACAAGGTTTGATGGGAGACTGAACACTCAGAATTGTCTCCAAGGACTCTTCTTTTGTTTTGCAGCCACAATGGTGGGTTCTTTGCAAGAAGTAAAAGGACCTCAATAATCTTATGTGAGATTGCTCGTTTGTTTTCCATCTTTGGAGTCAATTTTTCCAAGACCTTCGGGTTTGATTTGGCTCATAATAGAGCGAAGAAGTGCACCTAAACCCTTCTTTCCACGACAAGAGTTTTGTGGAAAAGTTTTTTTCTCCATTACATGAGACATTTGACTTGAGAGGAATACTAGGCACTTCAGAGCGTTTGAGAAGTCTAGGGAGGATCTTTGGGATTGGTTAGATTTAACTTGTCTTTATGAACGTTTGATGATCAAACTTCTTGTAATTACCGTCTCATTTTTTTTTAATTAAGGTCCATTGATATAATTAGCTTTGGAGTTGTTGGTGGGTTTGTGCTTTAGCATACTTGTGTACATTCTTTCATTTCTCATAATAAAAACCCAGTTTCTAATAAAAGAATGAAAAAAAAAAAAAAGAATCAATCGATATATGCATAATCAATTTACTAACTATTAATGCCAACAAAGTTAATAATCGTGTGAAGCCACCCAAGACAATCGTTATTCACATGATCAGAAGCTAAAAGACATGAAAGATAAACTGGATCAACCTAGAAAACCATTGCTTCACCTAATGACACAAAATAATCTTATTTTACTAACTAGTTTGAAAACCCACCATTTTTATTATTTAAAAATATATAGAACAAAAAAAATTTATACACACATATACAGCTATTACCTCCATATCCTCCACAAGTTCGAAGATTCCTTTAAATTGTAGATGCAAAGATGCTTCCATTCCATCACATTTATGGGCGATAAATAGGTTCTAATCAAATGGGCATGCTTCACTTAGACCACGCCTGAAAGTGAGGGAAGAGAGAGATACAACGAATATTCAGTGAGAAATCTAAAGCTCAAAAAAAAAAAAAAAAAAAAAAAAAAAAAAAAAAAAAAAAAAAAAAAAAAAAAAAAAAAAAAAAAAANAAAAAAAAAAAAAAAAAAAAAAAAAAAAAAAAAGAACTAATTAAAAAGCCAGAGAATATTAGAATTTTTGGTCCCCCCATTTCAAGATCAACTCCATGGCTATTACTAGCTGTAAAGGGATCCGAAGTCTACTCTTCACAACACCATCCATTTTCTTCTTTTTCCCCCACTACTAGCCGTCCATTACGGGACGGCTGTGATTGTGATTATCTTTTGTTTTTCTCCGAAAGCATATCTATTGCAAGAAAAAGAAAACGGGCCAAAGAAAAGAACATTAAGATATATCTGTCTTAAAATAAGCACAAGAACCAGCCTGGCATGACGCCACGAGCAAGAAGACTTACAAGGGAGGAAAGGTAGAGATGTTTGCCCCCATCCACAATTCAAAGACAAAGCAGAAAAGACTAAAATAAGAAAACTATTCTCACAGTGAAGTTCAATCCAATCATGGAGAAAAGTTCTTAATTACATTTGTAATTTAACAACCATGTTGCAATATCTACTTCAAATAAAATATTATATAGTATAGTACGAGCTATTCTGTATAGAATTAATGTTATACTGTTAGTAAAGTTTACCCAATCTAGCCAGCCACATAAGAAGCCCAGGCAACAAACGGTCCCCACACATATAACAATGGGACACATATGGGTCCCTCGGCCTACATGCTGTTCTATCTTTAAATTCCTCAACTTCTTCCTATCTAAGCGACAAAAGAGTATTAATGTCCAAATGGATGGATAAATCTGTTACTTCCCTCTTAATCAATCCACATACTTCTGCTAACATTTTGAGCAAAAGAAATAGAAATACAGCATATAAATGTTGGGAGAATCAACTTGAGCATAGCTCTATATTTAGAGCTCAGGAACATTTATTTCATAAACTAAAAGTTTCAATCTACGCTCCATAATTGTAATGCTATATTCTAAAAAAAGATAATAAGAAAAAAAAGGGAAGGACTAAAGAAAAACAAATGGAGGTGTGACCCCACCCGTGTGGGTAAGGCCAGGAAAGGACATTGAACCAATGGGTAGTTAACGAAGTCACCAGCACCTGCCACCGAATCCGCTTCTTTAACTCAAAGAGTCCATGGACTTTACTTCTTATAAAAAAACAAAACCTTTAAGATTCTTCCAATACTACAATTTGGTCCTCCAGCTGGCACACATTGGAGTATTATAGAAACAGCCACTCGGTCCCTTTTGTCCACTATTGGCAATAAGGGATAATTTCTTAATAATTTATGTACACTAGCATAATGCCTAAACCCACATGCCCCCAATATTTTATTGATACCCATCTGCTATCAAAACGTAGACCACACTTTCTGACCTAAGCAATAAACAGACATTTAGGATGAAGAAATTCTAAATACAGTTCCAATTTGAACAGAAAAGCCTTGAGAAAAGTGATGCATATCTGTAGAGTTATGTGTTCTGGTGCATCAATAAAAGCAACTCTTGAAATAAGTCAACTTGAGAGAAATATGGAATGGTAACCGTACCTTTTAATAAGAAGAGTTCCCCAGGGCGAAATATGTTGTTTAAATGGAGCCAGAACGCTGCAGAAAATAATGTGTTGGACCTGCAAGGAAATTCCATATCTACAAACCACTTGTTTACTTCAGGCAAGACCACCGTGTGAAGGATTGGATGGCTACACTTGATATATAATCATTCCAAACTGGCAAAAGCTTAAAGGAGCAGGAAATAGAATTGCTTTATCGACAATTTCAATACACGGAACACCATCATCAAGTATCCATTCATAAAAGAACGCAAAGTCTGTACAAACAAATCGAATGGCCCCTTTTTTCCCTTTTTATTTTCAGACCCAGGAAAAATCGTAAAATAGGATACACATCGCCTGGAAGATGGAGTTAGAAGAAGAAGCACAAAGTAACTGGAGAGAGACGGAAAAACAACGAAAAATAGGACTAAAATTGGAAAATTTATCAAAAAAGTCAAAAAAAGTCCTGTAGGGAAATTTACCGGCGACCTCATATATCCTCTGAGATTTCACAAGGAGTATCCGTACAAATCGTATGGTGACCATAGGGAGTCCAGTGGACATGGTTGTTTAGAGTCCAACCTAAGCCATGGCTTCCCACTGCCGGACCAATGCAAGAGGCTCGTCGGACCCGGGTGGAGGTCACGACAGCTGCCTCTGACGCTATCACCTCCTAAACCATGCTGGTTCCATCGGTGTTCGATGGTCGCCACGTTGCCCGCGAAAACCAACAGGAACGGCGGCAGTGACCCAAGTTCATAGATGCGATTACTCTTCTGAAGCTTCATCCACGATTCAATCTTCTCCGTGTACCCACTAGCCCTCCACTTAACCAAATCTATGACCATAACGCCGGTGTTGAAGTAACATGGTTTTCTTCCAGCAAATGTGCCGAAAAGTCTCTCATCAGACCAGAAACGCGCTGTGAAATACTTGCTAAAATTGGCATGGCAGTACTCAGGAGCTCCGATTGTCCACTCACCCAAACTCGTCGTCCATAGCTTTCGGATATCATCCACCACAATAAGATCAGAATCCAGGTAAATTACCTTCTTCACACAGGACTCGAGCAACCCAGCCAAGTAATTTCTAGCATAATTAAGTGGCTGCTCCAGCGCTTGCCTGACCGAAGTGGAGATAAGATCGCGGACAATCTCCGGATCGAAATAGTACACTTTAAATTTCAACTGAGGGAAGGTGGATCGAATGAAGTCCTCGAGATTTGTATCCGAAACGAGGAAATGAAAGAAAACACTGTCTGGACATTGCGAGTTTCGAAGAATCGAATTGACGGCCGCAACTGAGCCACGAAGGTACTCAACATCAAGCGTTATCGCAACATGAACCAAATTCGGATCGCACACACCAAACTTCCCAGAATATTTCGAGTCACCGCCACCGCATTGACCGGCATTGCGAAATGTAGATGCCTTTCGGAAGGAGAATCTGTTCAACGATCTGGAAGAGGCAGTATCAAGAGGCAAACGAAGGTAAAAATCAAGATGAGAGGATCGAATGGCTTCAGCCGGAGGAAACGATTGCAAAGCCGGAGCAAGCACAATCATCACCATTGCTGCGGAGAAAACCCCCGAAACTGTCATCAGCCAAAGCATATTCACCCCGTAAACCTCGTTCTTCTTTTTCTTCTTCCACTACAAACCAAATCGATCTACCAAAATCGACAAAAAAGAACACGTTCCAAGGAACGCTAGGGTTCCTTTAACGTCCTCCAGAGCTCTCAAGAAATCAATACATCAAAGAAAACAACAACAAATATAAGCCCTAAACGAGATCTAATCAATTTTTTCCTCCCCGCAAGTACGTAAAAGCGAAAACGTATGCCGTGGGAACAAAGCAAGCAGAGAGGAGAAAAAGGCAAAAGAAGAAAAAGAAGATGATGATGGCAACGCTGTAGCGGATAGCAATGAACAAAAATCGGACCTCAAAAGAAACTCCGATAGAGGATTTCACCGGCGGCCGATCTGCAGGAGGATTCTCTCTCTTCTCCTCCTCCTCCTCCTATTACTCTGTCGGTTGCAGAGCAATGGAAGAAGACAAAGCTGCAGACGCACAAAGTGGTCGAGTGAATGGACCTTTTCCATTTCAAATCCCCACATTGGCCTAAATATTAATTATTAAAGTCTTTGGGGTTAGAGGGTCAATTGCTACATTTGTTATTTCATTATTATGGAAAGTTGGTAGGCCAAAATGTAAATAAAAAAGAATATATCTTCATTTTTCTCTCCCTCATCGATAATTATAAAAAGAAAATTATAGATATTTCATTAAAAATGTTTTAGAAAATAAAATTTTATGAATATTAGTTGAGGTTGATAGATACATTTACCTATGGGTATAATTATTTTTCGAAAACGACCCTTCAACTAAATATATATCTTCAGAATTAAATATTTTTTTTTACTATATCAATATTTTTTTTTACTATATCTTCAGAATTAAATATTATTAAATATTTTTTTTTACTGTTAAAATTCCTTTGTTTCAACTCAATTCCAACTCTATCCTACTTTCAAACAAATTAAAAATATTTGAAGTTTGTAACTAATTTTAAGAGTAAGTTGTGACTAGTAAACGTTTGATATTTAAAATTTATGAAATTTTAGTTATAAATATAACATGTATGACACATAAATATGATTTTTTTAAATAAATAAAAGAAAAAACAACACAACAACCCAACCCAATTCGCAAATAGACGTTTAGGATGTGTAACGGTTCAAGCCCACCATATTGTTCGGTTTGACCCATTACGTATCGTTGTCAGCCTCACGATTTTAAAACGCGTGTACTTTATATGTTTTCACACCTTTACAAGAAATGTTTTGTTTCTCTCTCCAACCAATTTAAGATCTCACTATCCATTCCTTTTGAGGTCTAGCGTTCTCTCTGATGCACCACCACTCAATATCTAACTCTGATACTATTTGTAACAACTCAAGTCCACCACTAGCAGATATTATCCACTTTGTACTGTTACGTATTGTCGTCAGTCTCACGGTTTTAAAAGGTTTCCACACCCCTATAGGAGTGTTTCGTTCCCCTCTCCAATCAATGTAAAATCTCTCATAATAGATTATGAATTGTATTTCAGTTGCTCGACCACTAGCCTCGTCTAACCCAAGAAATAAATAAAGCATTAACACTATCTTATTTTATTATATTTCTATCCCATATTATGCTTTAATGTTGAAAATTAATAAAGTGTTGGTAGTCATAACGTGTGTTGATGCTTTGTTTGATAATAGAGCAATGAAGGGAGTTACTTTGAGAAGATTCATCCCCAAAGTGATTGTCACACATTAGAAAATAAAGCTTTTTTTTTTTTTTTGTTCTTTTTAATTTCTTCATGATTCAATTTCCAAGTATTATTTATGGAGAAAAATGATCGTTCTAAATGGTATTAAAGAGGTATCTCTCCTCGATGTTGTTCGGAGACAAACCAATGTAAAAGTTGGTGGGCATGACTAAGATTTTGTTCGGAGACGAACCAATATGGAAGCTGATGGGCATATAGCATCCAAGTAAAAAAAGAGTCATCATATGCCAAATTCGAATTTTGAACCCTATGTGTGGGTGAAGATGAAGAAGTTAGCTCGAGATCCTTGCTAACCTAATAACATTCTTACGTGTCCTCGTAACGAACTAATTAAGGAATGGAATATATGCAATTTTCTTAATATAATATTAGAAAATAAAAAGGAAATATATTTTCTAAGAATTTGTTATGGCATCACGATCTTCTGTGACATGTCTTGGAGCAGTTACATTCATTTAATCTTCAATGGGGACAATAGTAGAGATAGCCTTTACCGAATAAAGCGACTACTGACCTGTCCTGACACTAATAATAATAATAAACTTTTTTTTAAAAAAATAAATATAGGTATTAAAGAAAGTATTTCAAATGTTTTTAAATTTCTTTTAAAAATTAATTATTTTTATTATTAAGCTTGGCTACTTTTTTTTTATGTTTGAAAATTTGAAAAAAGTATTACCAAAAAAGGTTGAATTTATTCGGCTTAAATAAAATTAATTATCCTATTTATAAATTTTTCGTTCTAAAAAATAATTTATAAATACGTGAAACATATTCTTCTTTTTAAGGTGATATCCCATATTGATTGGGAGGAGAACAAAACATTTTTTACAAACTTATTTTAGTCCTCGACACGCGACCTCGGTACCAGTCTCATAAGATTCATGCATTCTAAGATTCGATCAACTCTCAAGGGTATTGCTATGGATCCTTGTCGCTTGCAACAAGTTCACTAAAAGGAAATTAACTAACAAACTTTCGTGTAATCCCTACCGAGTACAATCATACAACATAAAACATCATAGGTCAGTTCTATAGTTATCCAATCCTCTGACAATCGAGTCAAGTTTACGATTAAGGGTTAATTGACGAACTCCTAATCGTCCATGTCTAACCACTAAGTCACATGCATGAACAATAATCAAAAGTCTCAAGATCAACCAACTCCAAGGTACAACTATGGACTCCAGTTCTACAGTTATTTAGACACCTGACAATCGAGTCGAGTTTATGATTAAGGGTTAATTGGTGAATCCTTAATCGTTTCCATATAATTGCTAAAATCACATACATATACAATAGAGACATGACATATCATCCTAAACATAGATACTTAATAATAATTTCAGATGCAGGAATGAAATCTTAAAAAAAACATGCACAATAACATTCTACATGTGTTTGAATTCATGTTATTGTTACATGTAATAATCATATAATTTTAAAAATTAAATCAAGCCTACGAATTATTCACAATTATAATACATTATCCTTTGCATAAATTCTAGAAAATAAACACCAATATTCAATATATATGTTTTTTTTTTTTCAAATTTTAATTTCCGTATGAGAAAACTTCTTAGAAGTTTCTCAACATTAACCAAGGAAATTTCTCAATACGTCTTCAAAGTTGGAGTAATTTCCTAGCAAATTCAAAGACATAATAATAATAATAATAATAATAACAATAAATTATTATTATTATAGAATAGCTTAATTTTACAATTAATTATATGAATTATTATCATATTCGTGTATTAATTTTAACTATTATATAATTTCAATTATATGTTCAATAAATTATAAAATATATATACGACATAAATCAATAAAAATGGTCAGATTTATTTAATTTTTGAATTAAATTTGATAAAATTAAAAAATTATAGTTGAAATTGATATAATAATAAAAATAATTACTATTATTAAAAAAAAAAAAAAAAAAAAAAAAAAAAAAAAAAAAAAAAAAAAAAAAAAAAAAAA